TAGTTGACTATTAGTTGATGTAATGGGTGGAGTATTGGAAAAGTCATATGGAGAATGGAAGGCTTATTCCGTAATTTACGGGAAATGAAGGACGATAAACTATTACCATGGAGGCGTTCGTTTTCTTAACTTTTCCAGAATTAATTACTGTTTATAACATTGCGCGCGTGCTTGCCCCATATAAGTCCTATTGAGCCGCTATGAAAAAAATCTTTATTTACGCACGCCCGTGCGTAAATAAGATGACGTGAGCATTTTTTTTTACCTGGCTTAAGAGTTTCCGTCCTGTGAAGCTGCAGTGCAGTTTTCCTTCTCTTTGAAATATGGAAGAAACCAGCGAAGAACTACCCAATTTTTCTATGGGCATTGACCTTTTAAGTCCTGATCCATCAAGCATCAAAACTCAAACCCGAAAAAAACTCGGAAGTTGCACGTTTCGCAAATTGATACGAGTTCATTTGGCTTTGATTTTCTCCATTTTCTCCGTAAATTTTGAGCTTTTCATTCACAGTTATCGGTTCACTGGATCAAATGATCTCGCTCAAACCAAAGTATAAAATGTGGCGTGTTTTTTACCAGCCAATAGGGACGTTTGTTTACTTTCTTTTGTGCATTGTGAGAATTTTGCACTCTATCACAACAAAAGGCTTCTTCGCGCAGATCCTTGTTGTCGCTTTGTTATAAAAGAATTTGCTCATGCTTTTAGCTGTGCGTATATCGAGTTATGGATGCACTTGGGAAGTTTGGAGAGCACTCCAAAGGCTGGAGTCGCTCTCGGCTGCGCCTCGAGATACTCTTACGCATTTTGCGTGCTCTCCAAACTTCCCGCGTGCATCCATAACTCGATATACGCACGCCAGGCATGAACAAATTCTCAAATGACGCTTTTAAATATTGGCAGAAAAATGAATCCTCCAGTGAAACAACTATGAACCTGCCTAAATTGCCCAAAGATAGGCTGAAATAAAACAGATCAGGCTAGACCCTTCGAGATCACGACTGCGAAGGTCACAGTGAGAAGATAGCTTTTACGGCTAACGGTTAAAATGTTGGCCATTTTGCAGCGAACGGTTTTCAAATGTCTTTCCGAACCGGCTATTAAAAATTATTTTTAAAGTTAAAATTATGTTTAAGAGTCTATAATTAACAGCCATTGTTCTGAAACGCATTCACTTAAGCTTTAGAGCATTCACTGTAGCTTTAGAGGAAAGCAATAAGGGTAATTCCTAATGGAGTTGCTGTTGGGTTGATCCGGTGCAATGTTCTTTTTTCTTGCTGATTTTCATTTGGTGGTAGAGTTTCAGGTAAAATAACACTCGCTCGTACTTTTTCGCGTGATCGTTTAGGCTAAGAAAATCGATCAGATTTCTCTTGAATGTTGAATAGAGCGGCGTTTCTTCACCGATTTCAATCATTGACATTACCGCCTTGTATATTCCGATTGGCTTCTCCTTCCAAGCTTAATATGAACGTATTATGCCTTTAAGCTCAGCCACTCCCCACATTATGCATGAAAAAACTAGAGTTCATGAAACACACTGGTCACCTGTCTATAAACTTATCCCACGTGCGAAAAGAAGAACCTGTTTGCCAAATAAATATAATTCCGTGGGATCTTAGCCAAATTAAATGTCTTTGTTTTCGTTATAGTCGTCAGGGCCGTAGCTAGCTTGAGGCAAGACGGGGCAATTGCCTCGTCTTGATTTTGGCCTTTTTTTTCCGAATGAACGTTTAATTGAGAAAATAATCCCCAGAAAAAAATCGGATTGGCTAAAAGAGCATTTCTGAGCCTCTAGATTTCAAAATTTTCAGGGGGCATGCCCCCAGAACCTCAAGCGGCTCGCGCCTACGGTGCTCGAAACTTGCCTCGTCTTGTTCTAAAGTCTGGTAGGGTTATACATACCGTCTAACCGCATTAGCCGCAGGGCAAGACCCGTTTCAGCGTAAAATTTGGACAGTTCCAAAAATGACACATCGTCTCATATATTTTGCATAGATAAATGAAAACACCATCCCTTTGTTTAATAAAGTTAAACTTCTACCTAAACCCATTTTGTATAAAAAAAATTTATCTGAATTGATGCATGATGCTAACATTGCCTCAGATTCAATAAACGTACGTAGTTTGCGGAAAAATCATAAACTTATTCTACAACGCTCGTTTTTCTACTTCTAATAATATTTTTCTAAAAACCCTCAAACATTTTTGTACAAAAAAGTCCTTTCTTAAGAATCTGCGTCAGACTATGGAATGATGTTGCATGCTCTCTGAGGGAGCTACGTACCAAAAAAATCACTCAAATTTAAATTTAAAAAAAATATACTGCCTAGTATTTTCGAAAGAGAAAATTTCCTTTTCTACGCACACAAGATCATCGCAAAAGTGCGATTTTCGAGTCATCAATAACATCTATAAAATACTTGACGACCATGAGCTAAATATCGCGATTTCTGCCGTGCATCATTTCCAATTACTTGAGATCATCCTCTAAGTATCTCTCATAAATGAATGCAGAGGCACTGCACATGAACTATTTACCTTCGAGTTTAGGATTTATCGTCTGTATTTTCATTCTTGATTTTCTAAGCGAGTGATCCTCGCTAACATTACGAGTGAGAATACTTCTAGATAACATAGTTTGGTGGTTCGTGACTAACATTAAAACACATCAATTGTATTTCAAATGATTATGATAAAGAAATTTATACGCGCGCTCTGATTTGCCATAAAACCATTTTACATGAGCGTATGTAAACACGGTTTTCATGCTGAATCTTCTCGCGGAGTTCTCCCTGCTATTTATTTAGTAGTAACTCAGTTTCTTTAAGTTTGTTTTGAGTACAGTAATGGAAGAAGAAGATTTTCCTAATTTTTCTTTGGAGTTTAATTTTCCCAGTATTCAAGACACGGCCGAAAAGCCAAATGAACAACAACAACAAGCACGTCGCTTTCCTTCGTTGTAAGAAGAGGCTCTTTCATTAGTTATTTTATAAAAGAAATGTAAAATGGTTTCCGTGTTTACATAGCCTGATGTAAACACGCGGAAGGTTGGGAGAACACTCGATAAGCTGGAAACCACTCCGCCTCGCGTCGTGGTTTCCTACGCTTATCGAGTGTTCTCCCAACCTCCCGCGTGTTTACATCAGGCTATGTAAACACGGAAACCATTTTACATTTCTTCAGTGGAACATACTTAAGCTCTTATGAACATGGATTTAAGGGTTTATTTATGAATTCTCCTATTACGAGAAGTGGATTTGCTTCAAATTCAGTCTGCACTACAGTAGCGCATAGCACAACGTGATAGCTGATGAAGTTTGTAGATGTAGTAAGATCCACAGTTTTTCACACCAATTACTGTTGGGTCCTTGCAGCGGTTGTTATAAGCACGAAAGCATACCGTCCTGTCAACTTCACCATCTTCCACTGAAGGATGAGAACCATTCAACCAGCCTGGGTTTACTGTACCACATCTGCGTAATGGCACAAGATTAGTTGGCATTTTTGTTCCTGCAGCTCTCACAAAACGATACCATCCCACATGGAGTTTGTCGTCACACAAACTAGCTGATCTTGTGTAACTGCTCTTTCTATTGGCATCACTTAAGTTCTTGTAATTATTGCAGTGTTCGGCTACAAAGTCAAAGAAATATAAATTATTAATTTGAATTATTGACGCTAAAATTGTAACTTAATTGCAAGAGTCTCATAAGGTTAAGGGTTTTAAAAGCTTCATAAGTTCCTCTGACATTAATATAACAGGGTGCGAGGCTTCTGAATCTTTGAAAAATTATCAGGAGTAAACCTCCACCCCTCCCTTTTCTGTAACACTGATTTTATATTCTTTGCATGTTCTATCACCTCGTTTTGGATCTTTCGCCATGTAATATCTGTCCTTGTTCTTGACAAAGTCCTCTGGTCTGGCCTCTTTAGTTCGGTTGTTTAACTCGCATATTGCAATGAACATAACGACGTTGTAGCTTTGACATCTGACATCAGCAAGACAAGCGTCTCTGCATTCCAGAGTACCTGGTGCAGTCTTGAACGTCTTGTAAGTGTGGCCCTTGAGCATCATTTGGTAAATCGAGTATAAGTCGCCGCCAGCTCCACAATTCTGACTGGCATTGTCACGGAACAGTTGAGAAATGAAATATAGCACGGTAAAAAATGAAGCTTGGCGACCAGCTATGAGAAGCATATCAGATTTATGACTCCTGTGAAGACAAGATGAACATTTGTAATGTTTGATTTAAGGACCTTTTTGGGAAAAAAAATCCCTTAAAAGGTTATTGAAGAAAAACGAAATTTTGTCGCTTTAAAATCCGCCTTCCCTCCCTCTCCTTTTGTAGTTTTAATTTTTACTGATCAGTTTGCGGGGAAAATGAGAAACTGCTTGGAAACGTCAGTTACTTTGACGGCTTGTAAAAGATTTTAAGTATAGGAAATAAAACAATTTCGATTGTGATTTAGTGGAGGATAAAGTTTTCTATGACATCAAAAATTGCACAAGCTCGTGAGGCGAGTGCAATTTGTAGTCTTGAAAATTTACATTTCTTGAAATCGGTAGTCTCACCTGTTTCGTCATCCATTCAAAACCTAATCACCTTTTAAAAATTCGGTGACGAGAAAATGCTACCTTTATAGGAAATCGGGCTTCACACATTACTAAAGATCGATAATAATTGTATATTGTAACGTCCGGTTAGAACTGTAGTATCTGTAGTTTCCTTTACTTTAGTGCCTATTAAACTTTTTTCAGGAAAAAGAGAACTACAATTAATGGGAAACGGGTTTTCACTTAACTTTTTCAGACGTCAGTTTTAATTTGTAAAATAGATTGTACAATAAACTGCGGCATTACACATACCTGGTTAAAACTACTCGTTGTTTCTAAAAGAAAGTCCCATTGGTTTTCTCTTGAGGTGTGAAGCACTTTTGTTCAGAGCAGGTTGCCAACGGCCAACTGAACCTAAAAGGTTGATAAGGGGGAATAATATTACACCACAGACGACCTCGTAGCAGATTATGAGCCATTGTCCTTCCACAAATTGGTACATCTTCGTTGTATCAGCGGGATTCCATTGGAAACCGTTATTATTCTTCTCAAACTAGACTTTGTTATGTTTTACGGCCAATTGGAGCTGAAATGATGTTTAGGGAGGAATTATATTACGCCACGAACAAACTCTTGCAGATAATTAGCCACTATCCTTAATTTCTTACGGTGGTGCATCTTTGTTGGATCAGTGGGATGCTATGGTATTCAGTTAAGTTTTTCTCCCTCTGGGTTCTGCTGTGTTTAATGGCCAACAGGAGCTGAATTGATATCTTTATGAATCATTTAGTAACGTTGAGCTTCCGCAGTATTTTTAGAACATTTTGAACACAAACATCTCAGAGATTAATCTTTATTTTTCGATGTTCAGGTGGCCAATTCAATATTTCTTTCTTTGTCAAGTAGCATCAATCCATCAAGGAGTATTTTCAGTAGAAACGTAACTATTAAAGTCACAAGGAGTACATCCAAAATAAATGCTGTGGTATAAAAACAAGGCGAGAGCTATCGCAATTGAGACTATCTTGAGTTTGGGTGTATTATTATGGTGACACTCAGAGACCGATGTAGCTTTCGTTGTAATTTTGTCGTTCTATTTCATACTCGCGTGCTTAACGCCTTCTGGAGGACAAAAGATGTTTTCAAACTGAAGGTCATTCTAATTGCAACGGCAGGGTAGGCGAATGTTGTGTTGGAAATCTCTCGAATAAATCTCATT